TTAAAACTTTATTGCAATGCCACCACACCAGGATGGCTGTTTTGGCAAGGATGTGGAACAAGGGGAAAACCAGCAGCCAGCACTTCGTCAAGGTCTGTACTTGACTTTGCCAGCCCTGTTCCCTGACATCCTCATACTTTGGGGGAAAAAAAGGAGGCCAGGGGATAGAATTCACTGTGTAATAGAGTGACATCATAGTCTGACAACACCTCTTGTCCTAAACATCATGCTTAATGTACTCTAAGATCATGTAAGGCGTTTTTTGGGCAGTTGACATACTAATGACTCATGTTGAACTTTCGGCCTAGTATAATTCTTAACATTTTCACATACCTGATCCTGCATGAACCTGCTCAATTTTGCACAAAAATCCACAACTTTGACAGTTTCAACTGTTTGATATGGACCAATATTTCATTCATTGCAGATGGGAGTGTATATTGATACCACACAGAGATTGAGGATTGCTATAACACTAAAACTGAAGCACAGACTTTATGGCTGAGAAATTCCATTCTCCGTGTATGCCTAACAAATGCATGTATGTGCACCGAGAACCGTATATGAAACCGTTCACATATGCATTATTCATAATGGCCAAAATGTGAGGACAGCTTAAATGTCCATTAAGAGTAGAATGAGTAAGCAAATTATGGCATATTTATACAATAGAATACAGAAATGGATTTGGGTCTTTTTTATATCTTCCATGTCTCTGTATAATATACTCTCTTTACCTTCCTGAAAAAAGTATAGTTGTAACAATTATTTTGATGTTCTTATCTACTAATTCTAGCATCTGTATAATTTCTGGGGTCTATTTCTATTGATTAGTTTCTCTCCTCCTTGTGGGTCACACTTCCCTGCTTCTTTGTATGCCTGTTAATTTTTTATTGAATGCTAAACTCTATGAATTTTACCCTATCTGGTGCTGGACGTTTTTGTATTCATGTAAATATTCTTGAGCGTTGTTTTAGGATGCGATTAACTTACTTAGAAACAGTTTGATCTGTTAGAGGCTTGCTTTTCAGCTTTTTCAGGCAGGACCAGAACATCCTTATTCAACTGTTCTATAAATTAAATTCATCTAGAGTGGAATTTTATTCCATTTGTTAATTTTATTGGCTTTCTGTTGGGATTAGATTTATTCATGTGTTTTGAAATTTTACTTTGCAACCTAAATTTAAGTGGAAGTTCCCCTCCTTTTGTCCTCATCCTTGCTGTTTAATCATTTTATAGTTGTCTCAACCCAGATTCATAGACACCCTCCCCCCATCCCCAGTCAAGGACCAGATCTTATAATGATATCGATATAACCCAGCTACTAGATTCAAATTCTGAATATGGCTCTGGCCCTTGCCTGGAGCAGATAACCTATAAGACCCTCTTACTATGCGAAGGCTTAGTTGCCACTGTCTGCTACCAGACCCAGAACCCATCAAACCATGGCATCAGCCTTACTCATTATATATTTTTCCTTTTTCAGATTCATAAAAATTCATCTTTGAACCAAGCCATGTCTCTTTTTTCCAATATTTTATTCTTAAAATTTTTAAACATACAGAAAACTTGAAAGAATTATACAGTACAAACACATATACCCATCATGTGGATTCTGAATCACCATTTTGTTGTATTGTCTTTATTACATATCTGTCCTGACCCATCCATCCTTCTGTCCACCCATCAGTCCATCTTATTTCTTGATCACCTCACAGTAACTTGCACTCTTCACCCATAAGTACTAAAGCATTGCATATTATTAGCAAGAGTTCAATATTTGTTTTTGTTTATAGTTCTTTCTCTTTTGAAGTAATATTTACGTACAATGAAATATACAGATCTTAAGTGTTATCAAACACATCGCCGGTACAACTCAAACCTCTGTCAAGATACAGAATATTAACCAGAGAGTTTCCTCATGCCCTTTCTCAGTCTCTACTCCTCCACCCCAGAAGCAACGATCATTGTTTTTTATTTCTACCATAGATTACTTTTGCTTGCTCTAGAATTTCATAATGCGGGATCATATAACATGTACTCTTTTGTGTTAGGCTTCTTTTGCACAGGGTATTGTGTTTGAGGTCCATGTGGTTGTAGCAATAATTTCTTTTCATTGCTGAGTATTTCTATTCTTTTGTTTAAACACACCACATTTCAGTGGTTCCTTTTTAATTTCTCTATTTTTAAATTATCACTACTAAGTGTTTGCAGAGAAGAGAGTGCATCAAAGTATGAACCTAACTGCCAGCTTAACCTAAGTCCCCTGGTTTAATTAATATGTATTCATTTTAAGTTATTTTATTTAAATTGAGTAAGCTTGACTGCTTTCTAACTTTATAAAGAATTGGGAGAGAAAAAAAGTGGTGTAGATGATAGAGGCTCTGTTCATCCCTCTGGCAACCAAATCGAAGTTGTGATGGAAACAAGGAGCAGCAGCAAGAAAAAATCGCCTGGGATGAACAAGCCATACAACTAGGGAGAAATCTAAGAAATCACCCCGCAACAGCAGAAGGTAGGACAGGGCGAGGACACGGGGCTACCTGGTCTTGAGCGGCTGAGTGAGACGGAGGCAGCAGTGGCAGATGCCTTGTAAAGGGGCCACATCTATGAGCAGATTTTCACGGTGTTCGACCTGCTCCCACTGAGCACCAGTGCCGATTCGGCTGTGCGCATAGGGCATCAGGGACTTACAAGGAGACATTGTCGGAGTGAGGGCCAACTTGCTCTGTACAGAAGTGCCGGCGGTATCCATTGTTCCCTGTTGAGGCCCCTACCAGTGCACCGGACACAGTGCAGCCATAACCGTGATATCATCAAACTGGATAACAGAAGTTGCTTCGGCTAGAGGATTTCCTGAAACCCCACCTCCCCCAACTCATGGCCCCACCTAAGCCACATCCAGATATATCCTCAGAGAGTCAGTTGCTCCTTCTGTACACTCACACTGGAGGAGGCAGCTGGCCTCGGTTTCTGGCGTGGACTTTTGAGGCAACTATAAGCACAGCATCTATAGATTGCTTGCTGAATCTTAACAGGTGGCCCTGGAGGGGTAGAGGCTTGGGCTGAGTTTGGCCTGCAGCTGAACTCCTCTCAGGACTGTGCCACTGGACACCTACTTCACAAATCCACACTAATAAGACTGGGAGACTTAGGAGCTTTGCTTAGTACATAGAAACAGACACAGAAAGGCAGCCAAAATTGGAAGACAAAGAAGCAGAAACCATATGAGAGAAGAGAACATAGATCCAGATATAATGGAGTCAAGTAGTTTAACATGCAGAGTTCAAAACACTGGTTATAAAGATGCTCAATGAACTTTTGGGAAGTGTAGATAGATTCAGTGAGAACTTCAACAGAGATAAAAAACAAAAATGGAAGTGGATATTATAAAAGAGATGAACTTTTAAATGAAGAACACATTATCTGAGATGAGAAGTATATTAAATGGAATACACAAAGGAATAAACAAAGTGAATAAAGAAAAGGATCAAATGCCCTATCTAGAGGACAGGAAAGCCAAGGACCCTCCATCAGAATGGCAAGAAAAAAGATGCCAAGACTATAAAAATAATTTAAGGAGGATATGGGACACTATTAAGGATCCAAATATTCATCTGATTGGTGTAACTGAAGAAAATCAAGATGTTGAACAGCTGTTTGAAAAAATAATGATGGAAAACTTCCCTAATCTGGTGAAGGAAATGGACATACAATCCCAGGAAGTTCAGCGAATCCCCAAAATCAGGGATCTAAAGAGGCCCACACCAAGACACATCATAATTAAAATACCAAAGATCAAATACAAAGAAAATATTAAAAGCAGCAAGAGAAAAAACAAATAATTACATATAAGGAAACACCCATAAGACTGACAGCTGATTTCTCAAAAGAAACTGTGCAGGACAGAAGGGCTTGGCAAAAAATACATGATAAAAACCCAGAATCTACAACCAAGAATATTTTACCCAGCAAAGCTATCATTTAGAGTCAAATGGAAAAGAATTAAGTGCTCCAATCAAAAGATTGAGTGGCTGAAAGGATAAGAAAACAAGACCCCTACATATGAAAAGGAAGGGTATGGAAAAAGATACTGCTTTGATGGACCTAGAAGATATTTAAGTCAGACAGAGAAAGATAAACACTATATGATTTTACATATGCGGAATCTAAGGAATAAAAAGAACAAACTAATCAAAAACAGACTCACAAATATAGTGGACAATTTGGTGTCGGACAGAGGGGAGGGAGGTTTGGGGGTGCTGGGAGAATGGAGTGAAGGACTAAAGAAATACAAATTAGTAGCTGATGGACGGTCACAGGGATGGGGAGCATGGCATAGGGATTGCAGTTAGCATTAATGTATTGGCTAGATGGAAAACCAGAGGAGAGAAGGAGCAATTAGGGGGATCGTTTTATAAACTATAGAGATGTCTAACCAATGCACTGTATACTTGAAACTAAATTAAAAAAATAAAGGTTAAAAAAAAAAGAATTTAGTCCCTTTGATTTCCTTCTAGTCAGTTCAGTAGGCATTATCACATTTTTATATGAAATTTAAAAGGAGAAAATATGTTATATAAATGAAGAGCTATATTTGATGTTTAAAAATTCTCTTGTCCCGTAAGTAATATCAAATTGTCTGCATATTAAATAGGTATTTGTTTTTCATATCATTAAAAAATTCAATAATTTGATCATGTTTTTACTGTTACATTAGGTACAATTTATAATCACTATACTCTTTTGTTATCAACAATACTATTAACAGTAGAACTCTTTTGTTTTCAAGAGTGTTGATTCAGCTAGCTGAACAATATATTGCAATTCTGTGGGACCTCTAATCTCTTTTAATTCTAGATTAATTCTGCAATATAATGTAAATTGAGTAACTTAATCTCCTTTTCTGATACTTAACTAATGAAGCATAACATACACTACATATAACACAAATTTCATTTATTAAAATTATGTATTATTTTATTTTTATCTTTTTTCAGGTTTGGTTGGGATGTTCCAGTAATTTTGAGAAATTCAGAAGAGACCCAGTTCAACACAAGAGTTTTCAAAAAGCAAATGAGACAAGTCAAGAATCCTTTTGGTTTAGAGATCACTAATCCATCTTCAGCTTCAATTACAAGTTGGTAGCTATTTTCCAAAGATCGTTCTCTCTTTTTGTGCCCTTTTCTTAGCCCTTTTATTTTCTTTCTCTATTGTTTTTCTTTCTCTCTTGTTTTCCCTATTACTTTCTCTATTGTTCTGGGAGCTGTACTGCGAACTACAGATACAAAGGCAAACAATTCACAAACCTTGCTCCAAGGGAACTTATCAACTAGCGAACAGAGGCATTTGTCTGAGAAAAATAAATTATCACAGATGTTAATAATATCACAGGTGTTAGGACACTGCCATTTTCACTGGTCTTCAGTGCAGTGAGAAATGTAAGAATGGTGTAAGTACAGTTAATGTAAGGTTGCTAACCTTCTAAAGAACAGCTGTCTTTTAATCTAAAATGATGGTATTTTGGTATATTATTTTGATATAAAATGTTAATTTGGTAGATGGTAATAATAGATGGTAGTTGTTTGTTTCTGTACTTAACTTGGAAAAAAATATTGTCTGCAAAGATATCTAGGAATTAGTGGACTGAAAGAGAAAGTGGAGTGCTGGGGGTAGGTAAGAGAGAAGAGTCGAGAAAGACCTTGCTTGGGTCCTCCTTTGACAGGTCCTTTTACTGAAATGAGGAATTCAGGAGGAACAACAGGTTTTGGAAGAAAGGTAATGAGTTCAGTCTTGAATTTCTGGACTTCTAAATGCTCTTGTAACAGTCAAGTAGAGGTATAGAGTAGGTAGTTCTAGATATAGTTCTGTAGCTCTACAAAGATTTCTGGGCTGAGACCCTATCACCTTTTATACTTCGTCACATTTCTGGTATCTTAAAAACAATGTAAAACTTTCTCAGCTTTTCATCTTATTCTAGCTACTGTCCTATTTCTCTTCTTCCCTTCACAGCCAGGCTTCTTAACAGCAGTTTGCATTTGCCTGTCCTCTTAGCCCGCTTCCATTTCACTCCTAAGAGCAGTAGTAGTATGATTTTTACCTATATCCCACTATCGAAATGGCTTTTCCAAGGTCACTAATCACTACTTCTGCCCCCACCTCCAACTCCCAGCAGTCATAAAACCCAATGCTCTTCTCTGCAGTGTTTAACAAAGTTGACCAGTCCTTCCTTCCTGACACCCTGCTCCCTTATCTTCTGCGAACATTCTTGTCTAGTTATCTTCTTGTCTGTAACTTCCAGAATCACTTGTCAAAAATTAGTGTACTTAGTCAGTAGTGTACTTCAGTTAATCTTGATTTTATAATGAAAAAGTACAGAATCTCTTATTTTTCTTTCTTAGCTATAAATACTATATGATATATAATATATATAAAATGCTATATTATATACATAGTATATAAAATACTATACCTAAATATGACTTGAAAGGAACTAAGGACCCTTCTTTTCCCTAATGGTAGATAAGGGGTTCATTCTGAAATTTTTCACTTGGAAAAAATAAATTTCAAGATATGACAGAGAAAACTAACTTATTTAGTAAATATGCCTGCATAAAATGTGCAGAATAGTGGTAGTTTGGTTATCTCTGACCTTTTGTAGCTATGCGCTTCGACCTGCTATAATGTTACATCTGGCTCTTGAACAGGACTGCCATTTAAAAAATCTACCATTACAAAGCCGTCCTTCCTGAAGCACAGTTCCACAAGCCTGGAAACACTAAAAAAGCAAAAACTGATATATTGTGAGCAAACAAACACAGGACCCTAATGAGCTAGAAAGTGTCAAGAAATCCATCAATCTGCCTTTAAGACAGAAAGTCTCAAATAGAGCTTACCCGGTAAATGTTGAGCAAATGAAAAGATATCTACTAAGCAGAAGACCTGTCATGCCCAACACACCAGATGCTAACCAATAGTAGCAGTACTGAAGTACATGAAAAAAATTTTAAGTGTGTGGACTTATAGAATGCTTGTTGAAGTATTTTAATTTTTAAAATGCCAGTGTATATTGTTCATTATCTGTCTTCTATGGGGAAATAAGAAGGATTTTGGTGGGAACTGTACTCAGCAGAATAAAACTCATTTGTTTAAACTTTGCAATGGTGGGTGTCATTAAAGATGCCTGACCAGGAAATTGAAATAATATTCTGAGCAATAATTGTGACACATCCTTCCAACACATACTCTTGATCACTTTAAAAAATAGGTAATGTATCAATAGAATTCCTATTAGCAAGAGACACAAATGACTCCAATAAAAGGATATCGAATAGCTTATAGACTTGCCATAGATTTGTGGAGCCGGAATTGGAAACCAAGGCTGTTCAGCTGGGAACAATGACCAAAAACATTTCCTTTTGCTTTACTAAGTATAGCACTGCCACAAACGAAGGAAAAAAATCATATAGGTGGCACATAGTAAATCCTAATTAAGTGTTAAATAAGTAGGCAAAATTATATAATGCAATTTATATGTCTACTTATAATTTATATACCCTCTTAATTAGGTCTACTCAAATTATTATATCTTTTATTATGCTGAAGGCAACCAAATGAATGAGAACATCACTATTAAACCTTTCCTGTTTTGGAATCCCCCCTCTTTCCTTGGGATATTTTACATATTACATGGGACATTAACTATGTGATAAGAATGTATATTAATGTTGTCATTGTGTATATTAATATCAGTAAAGCGCAATTTCTTTTAATATTTTAGCTACTCCAGTGATCATTGTGTGCACCAGTGGGTGGTGTGTATCCACTTTCAGAGACAGCTCTGCTCTGCTTGTAGTTACAAGGTTATATGTTTCCACTTTTGGAGACAGCTCTGCTGTTTCTTCTAGTTAGCGTTATAGACACTATTAGAGTGGTAGGTTAACCATAATGAACTGTAACTCAGTTTTTATAATGTGAGAAAAGTCTTGAAGTCACCAAAAAAATTAAATTGATACTTTCCAAGCAAATATATAAATAATAAAGAATATACTGAGAGTACTTCAAAACTGTGTAGACACTGAGGTTTTTATATATCATTTTAGAGATCAGTTCCTTCGTTTATAGGTACATACCCTTTAATGAGTTCTTTTAACTGCCAGCAGCCTGGCCAGTATCTAAAAGGAAGCTTTTGTTACTCGCTATATATAATTGTATTAGAAATTACATTAGCTAATTTTCTTCTCTTTGTCTTGTTTGTTTTCTACAGCTGGCATAACTTTGACAACAGATTGCCTTGAAGATAGCCTCCTTACATGCTACTGGGGGTGCAGTGTTCAAAAATTATATGAGGCTCTGCAGAAGCACTTTTATTGCTTCCGAATAAGCACTCCCCAAGCATTGGAAGATGCTGTGTATAGCGAATATCTCTATCAAGAACAGTATTTGTATCCTTTTATCTGATATGTCCATTAGCACATGAAAATTTTAGACACTAGACGTTTTATGGATAAAATAAAGTATTGCTAAGTTACTTCGATCACCTTTGGTATATTATTATATTTTGGTTATGGTGGCAATTTACCTTTACATCTTCAAAAAGTATTAAAAAGGACAGCAAAGAAGAAATATATTGCCAGTTACCAAAAGACACTAAAATTGAAGACTTTGGTACAGTGCCCAGATCTCGCTATCCATTGGTAGCGCTGTTGACCCTAGCTCATGAGGATGACCGAGAAATTTATGATATTGTAAGTAATTTTAAAGTTCTGGAAGCATTACCTTTAAATGATTTAGATAGTGGGTCTTAATTATTTGGTGAAATAGAGAAAGTTTTAATTTCTGAGGATAGACATTTGGCCTGAACACTTTTTTTAAATGAATAAATGGCAAGTACATCTCTGATTTTTATAAGTGTTACAGCTCCTTTAGAGTATAACTGTTTTTTTCTATGTGGGTTGCAAGAATATGATTTTATTTAGAAAATGAAGGCTGTATTATATTTAAATTAGGTTAATGCCATTGTTCTGTATTCTGTCATCTTTGTTACATAGAAAAAGTGTTGGGAAGAATGTTTATCCTTAACATTTTTAGCACTGAATAAATAAGCCTTGTAATGATCCGAAGTGTTCACTTTTAAGACAGTATCCACGCTTCTCTTTGAATATTTACAGTCACCTTATTTCCATCATAGTCCCTGATGCAACTGTATCTTATATATGTTTGGTCCCTATATTTTCAGTAATTATAGTGATAATTACTTTTCTCATATGCTAATTATTTCTTTAGTCCAGTAGTTTATCCCTATTAGGAAGATAAAAGCATCTTAGAAATCTAACAGGACCTGAGCTCTGACAATCCTCTAAGTATGGTAGAAGCTTATACATGAAATAAACTTTTGGTGAAATCATATCATGGTAAGAATGCCCTTATACACAATTTACTCTTTTTCTGAAGTGCATGATATAGATGTATTCATTAATAAAGATGGTAATTTTTATGGTACTTTGTAATATACAGAGTACATTCACTAACATCAACTTATTTATTCCTCCTAACAACCTTGTGTGTTAGAGCAAAATCCTTTTTATAAAGACTGGAACAGTCAGGAAAACTCCCAGTTGTTCGGGAAATATGAGATGTGCTTGACCCTGAGCCTTTGTAGTCCTGTACCAGTACCCGTCCCCTGCTCGCCTCCCCCACCCCTTACCCCCTACCCCCCCCACATTTTTTTT